CCCTGCCCATAGCAGGGGAGTTGGAACTAGATGATCTTAAGGTCCTTTCCAACCCTAACTGTTCTATGATACTATGACTTTGAGCCCTAAGTCAGCGCAAACACATATCCGTGTGTCTAAGAGCTGTATTCACAAAATGCAAACATGTCGAAGTCCTTGTATTTTTAATATAATACCATCCCTCTTGCTGACTGCAAGAGACAATGTGGGGTCCTTAGGGGTTCAGGAGGTAACTGAACTTGCTGTGTAAGGTAAAGGCTGTGTAGTCACTGCATGGAATATAGTCCTGCAGAAGACACTGTAGAACCTCTCCATAGCAAGGTCGGTATTGCTGAGATTAATTAATTTGATTTGTTCTTCCTCTGCTTTCAGATCTGTATCTTCCAAACATGAAATGCAATCCCCCCTTCTCTGAAAACAAACGATCACAGACTCTTACCTATTTCTCTTGACTACACCCTGCTCTAGTTTCATCCCTAATTTCCAACTTACACTGCCATGTTGTTATCTGGTAATCACAAATGAGCATCTCAAATTGGCCTTTGTTTAGGCTCCATGCATCTCCTATTTTTCTGCTCAGAACTGTACTCAGATTTTCCCTTCAGAAGTGGGAGTACTGCTACCGATGCTGTGATGTACTAGAATGATATGCTGCTCTTGGATCAGGAAAGTATCCTCTCAGTGCCTGCCAGCTCAGAAAATGCTCATGAAAACTGGGGAGGGGGAGAGGAGAATTGATGGGCTCTCCTTCCTTTCTTTGGCATGTGGAACTCAGATGTGCTTGCACCTGCCCAGATGTACCAAGGTTTTCACCATGTTTATACTCTCTAAATCTGGGCAATATGCAGAATGCCAAGCAGTGAAAGGAATACTTTAATCTTCACTTCCTTTGGCTCTAGTGGCCCAAGAGAAGTAGATACATACACTGTGGTATTTCTCTGCCACCTTCAGAATCTTTATCATGTAGATTGGCAGCAGGACTGGCCATTGACTGAATCCATTGTCCTCAAGGGTTTTCCTCCTCTCAGGAAAGGGACCGACCTCTTCAAGTCTTTTACCCTGCCAAAATTGTCTAGACTAGTCTCACAAGAACCGCACATCAGAACAGGTCCCATGCTATAATGTATCACCAACTAAATGTTTTTTTTCCTAAGAGAACAAGCCAGAAATTTCCATGAGAAGAAGACCACATCTGTCACAACTCCTTAGAGGGACAGGGCCTGGATGCATAGTTCAGAGCTCTGCCGTCTCCTCAGGACATGCTTGAGGGCTCTGAGGGTTATCGAAGCACATGAACAGCAGCTCTCACTCACTCAACAAGTAAACTCTATGGCCACTTAGTGCCTCCTTTTTTAAAAGTTATTTGTCATTGTTCAGTAAAGGAAGAGCACGGCCATGCACACTGCCTGGTGGCTAGATGCTTCATCACAGCAGGCTTGGCACATATTGCAGCTTAGCATCCTCAAAGCCAATTAAAACCCAGCACTGGAAGCCACTATCCATGTGCTGCATGGATAGAAATGCAGACAAGAGCCTGTGTTTGTTAAAAAATAACATTAAGCACAGCATGAATCCCCAAAAGGCAACAGGAGTGTCTAGGCTTAAGTAGAAAGCAAAGTGCTCTAAATAATTTCTATTCCTTCCTGATTCTCCCAGGAGGGAGCAGTCATCACACAATACCATGCCACCAGGACAAACTTGACTGAATGATCTGCTGCGCGCCATCAGAGAGCAGTACATGCAGCTCATACCTTTAAATAAGGGGTAGCAGTAGAGCTACAAAACAATCTTAAAGATAGATAGATAGATTAAACATACGTATAAATGCAGTGATTCTTGCAAATTTTCAACTCACTTCTTAAATGTATTAGTTTTGTTCTTAAAACAGTTTTTTGATGTTACAAAGCAACCACAGAATCCTGAAGGTCCTGAGAGCACAACAACTGCTCCTGGCACCCACGGTGACATAGTTCGTACCTCAGTGTAAATAGAGCCAAGTTATACTCATGGCATACACCACCCTCAGCCTGGCACAGCTCCTTTACTTCAGCACCTTGTTACACCTTCTTTCTGCCTTCATTATACCTCTGGCACTGGACTTTTCTCTCCAGTAGTTTCTATTGCCAGCAAAACTTTCCAAAACTCTGCTTGGCTGAGCTCCTCAAGGCAGAGACGTCTGCAGCTCTACAATCTCACTATATGCCAACCAGTGGAAATACTTTCCCGTTGTTATAACAATGTATAATCTAATTACTTCTAGCAGAACAATTTGTACTTAAGGAAAATCCCTAGTCGGCCACATTCCATTATCCTTTGCCCTTTTAGAGTTTCAGTATTCATTTTAAAGTTTAATTTCATTATCAAGCACGTCCTTCGCATTGCTTTCTACAATCACCTGGCAAATACGTAAATGGAGCTAAACCACTCTACACCTCATAAGAAGCTCTTGTTTCTATAAAATGGTATTAGAAATATTGACAATATTACAGACTTTAGCAATTCCACAGAAAATTCAGCAAACATAAACCTGCTATCAACTAAGTATTCCCCAAATACTTCCTGAATTCTTTCTCAAGGGAAGCTGCAATGTACAGGTAAAGAGGAAGAGATGCTTGCACTCTGATTTTAGCATTCTTAATGCAAAAGCCATTTACTGATCAGATAAAGGTAATGGTGTTAATTGAATCGGAAGCAGATACCAATGCATTGACTCACTACATAGCCCACTGGCAGTGTTTTGCAAAGCATTAGAAGATTGAAACAAAGATTACGAACAGTCACTTTTTACAACAGTACCATGCTGGGCTGCAGGCTGTTGCTCTGACCTGGAAATCCTGCTGCCCTGCTTCTGTAATGAATCTGGCACAGGCATGAGTGTGTTTTCTGCCACTCCCGACAGATGCTCATCCCAACTTTTATTGTTAAATAAAACCCCTAGCAAAGACCAGTCAAAAATACTAGCTAGTATTGGTAGGTATCAAAAAAACTCCGAACCCTAAATGTTTAATTATCACCCTTGTTTCAGGGGGAATTACTGCAATAACGGATGAGTGTCCAGGTGGCTCACTAGATTCTAAATCACCCACTTTAAATGTGGCTTCAGACAGACAAAAGGAAATATTTTGATTTGCCTGACAGAGACTGTTGTCAAGGAAATCAGAGGAAAGTAAGTCTAGATAATTATATAAATAGATAATTAAAAGTAAATTAAAATGAAACAGGAAAAAACAGCTAAAAATCCTAATGCAATTAATTTCATTATATATTCTTTTACTTCAGCAAATTCTGCTTTTAATTGAGTAATTCTCACTACTGGAAATAATGGAAGTGATTTGTGTCCAATGATGCAAACAGTTGCATAAACATGCATTAAAATTCACCAATTTTCATTTCAAATTAGTTAGATTCAGGCAGAGACAGAGTGAAGGGGAGCCAGCACCATCCAGGTATCAAAGCCCTTCCCTTGACATGTCCCAGTCGACTCCACAACTGCCACAAGAGTTATACAAGCAAAACCCCCATCTACTCAGAATAAACAACATGCTCAAATTGTATACATATTTTACAGCTTACAAAGCTCATCCCAGTAGGCGATCCATGGGACAACAGGATACTTTCTGCACTTACATTTTCAAAAATACATGTCTTCAAGGATCTGTCTTAATCCCCTATCTCTTTCTCCCTGCACAAACTATTATTTCAGGCACAGAATAACCAAACATATACTTACTAAATCAGTCAGCTGTGATATTATTTAAAGAAAAACAAGCTCAACGGAAGAGTATAAAAGAAGACCAAAACAAGATCAGATGGATTCTCATGAGTAAGCAGCAAAATATCTTCAATTCAATTGCAGCAGGTCCAGGCTGGTAGCGGGGGTTGGGGTGTGTGCTAGTGAGCTGGGATGGTGTGAACACTGTGACCTTGGCACGGCATGGCACAGCATGGCATGGCACAGCCTCCTCTGCTAGTGCATGCCTCCGCCAGACCAAGGCTGGCAGGCCAACTCCTAGACATGACTCCGAGGTGGATGTTGTGGCTAAGGTGACCTTGAGAAAGCCTAGCAATGCCAAAACCTGACTGTCAGTGTCAATCTCTGGCACACCTGTGGGGAGGCTCTAGACAAGATTGCAAAGAAGGGTTACAGCTCTAGCTTTTTCTGCCTTCACATCATAAAATGGCTTTGCTGTCGGAAAGTGCAACTGCAAGCAAAGATCACTTTGCTCTGTGAAGGGGAGTAAGCAGAGGTGTTGCCATTTAATGAAAGTTTAAGCAAAGCACAGATTGGTTCTTTCCCTTTAATTGACTATTAGAACTCAAGCTCTGTAGTAGCAACCTTCCAAGAAGACAGATGATATTTTCCTTTTAAAATCGTTAAAGGGAAAATGAACAGAGATGGCTATGTTAATTTAACAGTTCCTCTGCAAGTGGGTTGGTTCCCCACTTCCTTAGCAGTGCAAATTCCCATTGAAAAGTTCACAGTGAGTCTATGAAGACACAAGCATGATTGGCTTTAATGTGGTCAAGAAAGACACCTCATTTCTCAAGGACCACCACAAATTTCTGCAGGAAAGCTACAGCTGTCCCTATATTTATCTATTTACACGGAAGCTCTAATAAAAGATATAGGTATATACAGAGATAAAAAGTTTAACTTCGCTGCTGTTTTTTTTCATGTTATCTTTCCAGCATACCTTGAGCCACAGCCTCGGAAAACCCTTTGAGGCACAGCACTTTAATCTCTGTGTTTCACTATGCCAATGTGCAAATTAGTTTCCAGGATCTGCAAGCGGCAGATGACTACTTCTGCAAGATGGCAGCCAACCTTTCAGAAGGAGGACAACAACCCTGACTCACAGAGGATGAAAAGGAGAAGGGGAAAAAAGCTAAAGTAAAAAAAAAAAGTAAAAATAAAATAATAATAAAAAAAAAACCATGGCAGTTCTCACAGAATTCAGCATACTCAAAAGGCACATCTTGCACAAATTAAGTTTCTTTACCTGCCTAATTCCTAAGCGATAGGCAAGGATGCGGTCCACAGCATTGGGGTTCATCTGTGTCCACTGCAGGCTGTAGGAATACACGCGGGGTCTGTTCTGCCACAGTGGGTTGTAGGTGTCATAGTAGAACTCAGGAGCGTAGGCTTTGCCTGTAGGAGCAGGAAAAAAAATGGAGAAAACAAAGAAACCAGGGATAATCAGGCAGCCAGTTTTGGAGCCAAGCATTGAAACACAGCCTGCAACCACCCTCTTCCCCTTATGTCTTTAGTCATATTGTTAAGTATCTTCTAAAAATGACATGGAATTATTTGCCTCTATCTGCTTTTTTTAAAGGATTTGTGGTAACAGTTTTCCTTTATCATTAACTCAATCCTTGGTGGCATCCATGGCCCAGGTGTGGGCATAAGAGGAAAAAACCTAACTGAGCTCCTAGCAAAGGTGAGCTGGAGTGATGCAACATGCCTCTGCACTAATTTTTCATGGCTCAGCTTACCGAAATACAGATATTAAACCAATCTGCACTACACTGGTAGACTCAGTGACAGTTGCTGTACCTGACACAAATATTATGAAATTACATCCATGAGGTGGAAATACAAGATGGATATTTCCAGCAGCTGCTGCCTTCATCACATATTCTCCTCTTCCACTTCCCAAGTGAAAATTCACACAAGCCGTCCTTCATAACGCCGTGATGTGCACACTATTACAATACATTATTTAGCTGAACATAGTAATGTGCACAACACAGGAAAATGGCATCTCACAGGGCATGTTTGGAATATGAGCGTTTCACCAGAATTTTATTATAACCTTCACTGCATATAAATAGGGAAAACCTAAGGATGATTTCCCAAACATGTGCCAGAACATTGCTTGATTTCACTAAACTTGAGTTCCCTTTGACTTAAACCCATGAATACTAGCGACACCTTTGCATGCAAATTGCCTTTGTGCCTCTAGAGTGATTTGTCTATAATATCAAAAATGACACCCAGTGACCAAGCTCTTCACCCAGCCACGTGTAAGTAGTGGCATCTGAGATGCAGGAGGGTAGCTGAGCCATCTAGACAGGGTGGGATATATGACAAAGGAGTTATAAGAAACCCAGGATCTGTTAGAGCCATAGCTGGAGCTGTGTGTACCATCCTAGAGCATCTCATGTACCACCAGGCACCTCTGTACATGCAAATAAATTGAGTCCATAAAGGCTACAAGCAGATGTGCTAGGTTGAGGGGTGTCAGCAGAAGCCTTTGTGGGAACTTCACTCCACTGGAATATGCAATTCCAACATATCTGAAAAAATGTCAGTGGAATTGTCCTAACAGGAAGTCAAACAATGTTAGAATACATACTACTATGTCCCAAGGAGGAGGATAGTTTTCTATTTTATTTTCTTTTTTAGCATATCATACTAACCTTACAGCATTGCTCTGTTTCTTAAAGCAAAAATATTTGGATTGACTTGAAATGAGTTTTAACAACCAGATTTACAGGAAGCATCGTTAACCACCAGTTTTTGCACTGACTGATACAAACAGGAACAGAATCCCAGGTCAAAGACAGACATAAACTGAGGGAGCTGGGTCTCTTTAGCTTGGAGGAGACTGAGGGGTGACCTCATCAATGTTTACAAATACGTAAAGGGTGAGTGTCAGGATGATGGAGCTAGGTTTTTTTCAATGATGTCCAGTGATAGGACAAGGGGCAATGGGTGTAAACTGGAGCATAGGAGGTTCCATGTGAACATCAGGAAAAACTTCTTTACTGTGAGAGTGACAGAGCACTGGAACAGGTTGCCCAGGGGGGTTGTGGAGTCTCCTACATTGGAGATATTCAAGGCCCGCCTGGACAAGTTCCTGTGTGATGTACTCTAGGTTACCCTGCTCTTGCAGGGGGGTTGGACTAGATGATCTTCTGAGGTCCCTTCCAACCCTTGGGATTCTGTGAAAACAACAAAAACAACAACAAAAAAAGATAAGAAAATTAATGCATGCAGCCCTGAGGACAAGGACTTGGGGGTACTGGTGGATGAAAAGCTGGATGTGACCCAGCAGCGTGCACTCACAGCCCAGAAAGTCAACCATATTCTGAGCTGCATCAAAAGACACATGACCAGCAGGTGTAAGGGGGTGATCCTGCACCTCTGCTCTGCTCTTGTGAGACCCCACTTGGAGTACTGTGTGCAGTTCTGGAGCCACCAACGTAGAAGAGATGGGAAGTCAGTCCAGAGGACACAATTAAGATGATCCAAGGGCTGGAGCACCTCTCCTATAGAAGCAGGCTGAGAGAGCTGAGCTCTTCAGCCTGGAGAAGAGAAGGCTCCAGGGAGACCTTAGTACAGCCTTCTAGTACCTAAAGGGGCTGACAAGAAAGCTTGAAAGGGACTTTCTACAAGGGCATGTAGGGATAGGTCAAGGGGTAATGGATTTAAGCTAAAAGAGTGGGGAGACAGACTGGATATACGAAAGAAATTTTTTGCTGTAATCATGGTGACGCACTGGTGCAGGTTGCCCAGAGAAGTTGTGGATGCCCCATTAAAGGAAACATTCAAAGCCAGGTTGGACAAGGCTTTGAGCAACATGATCTACTTGAAGATGCCCGGCTCATTGCAGGGGAGTTGGACTAGATGGCCTTTAAATGTCCCTTCCAAACCAAACTATTCTATGATCCTATGAGGGAACAGGTATATCCTTTCCCTGTCCACCTCTGCCTCCTTTTTTTGGAGTTTTTCTGCTTTGAGCTTAATACTATTAGAAACAGAATGGAGGCACAGACCAGATTCTGCTGTGTTAAATGCTACGTTTTGTCACTTGAATTGTGCAAAAAAAGGGACCAAACATAGGAAACTAAAACATTTGCAGATGTTATCCTTCCATGAACGTATAAAAGAGACTAGCCATTAGAGAAAAACAGAAGCAGAATAAAGTCCTTCCACCTCCCCAAACTTATACCTCTGTCGTCCTCCTATTTCTGCAAGGATTTTGTCAGTGGGAGCAATTATGAAATGCAGTGAAAAGCACAGGACAATCTCCCAGGAATACATGGTCTGCCTGCTCATGTTGACCTAGGAGAGAGGTATGCCTTCATTACTCACCTCCTTTAATTCAGATGTTAGGAGCTTGTGCCAAAATGCAAACTGTAGTTAGGTATTTTCTCCTCAAAACTACTCTCACCTACAAGTGCAAAGCGACATGGATGGGGAGGCATTTTGACCTAGAAGTCTGAGAATTTCAATCAGAAGGGTAGTGAGAAGAGGGGAAAAGTGCATTAAAAAAAAAAAAAAAAGTAAAAAGGACAAAGGAAAAATCATGTGAATATATACCGGTCTTGTAGTTATTGATCAAGCTTTTATCTTTGGGTGTGTCATCCCCTTGAGCCATGCTTTTCTTTTCAAAGGATGAAAAGCCCTTTTAGCTGAGATATCTTTTGCCAATTGCTCAACCGAAGGTGCACATTCAGTTAGGCCAGACTAAAGCAGATATGCTAATGCCGAAGTGGAAAACAACAATACTCTGAGGGAAAGAAGCAAAGCAAAACTGCTGTTTTAAAAAATGAAATGTAAGTTAAATGAGAAGAGGATCAGTGGTCGATAAGATTTGTTTTCTTTATTTACGTAGAGTGGGAATAATGGAGGAAAGCTCATGCTGAACGCAAATTATAATCTTCCCCCTCCTACTGCAGGTGGACATAATGGCATCTCTGGGGGTCTACAGAAAGGATCCATAATTAGACGCATGTCACAATATGGGCACTTGAGCAACACAGTCCCTTTTTGAGAAATAATGAGGACCCATGAAGAGTTGTATTATTCTAAATCCCTCCTAACAGAAGAGCTTTCTGGCATGAATAGAGATACTGAAAATTTAACAACACAACATTCAGACACTAATGTGCAAACTTTAGAAGTACAAGAAAGCTGGGCAGTGTTTGAGAACACCCAAAAAGGAGATGTTGCCTTCAGGGACAAGGGAGCTATGAGACACGTCGGCAGTCTGCCTGGGCTTGTCAGGTGTCATCCAACAATGTGACCATTTGCTCCGACTCTGGACAAACACTGCAAGCCTGACACCACCCAACCGTGCTGCTTCCAGAGGCAATGCTGCCTCCAAAGATTATCCTCCACTACAGAAATGAAGAGATGATGAAGGATGTAACAGCCCTAGCAACAGCACTTGACTTAACACGACTTGAGGGTGGGGAAGCAACATCTTTCTTGGAAACCACCTGCAAGTACAAGTCAGCTCTGCAGCCAGCTTCAAGCCCTTGGCCATGTCTGGAAGAGGTTATCACATATTCACCACTGGCAAAGATGTCTCAAGCATGCAGCATGTGGAGCTGCTGTCCCTCATATCCCAGTTGGGCATTTCTCAGGGGTGCCAGTTCTACCTTGATCTCCCTTTCTTCCTACAGCTGTGTCAGGGTCACTTTTCAAAAGCAAAACCCCTTGTTTTGTTCCACATACATGATACATTTCCCTGGCTCACACCATTTGCCCTTTTTAAGATCAGGCAGGAAAAATGGCCTTCCTTTCCCTTCCTTCAGGCTTCTGCAGAATTCAAGAATTTAAAACATTTCAAACTTTAAACTTACAGAGGGTAGATTTAGATCACCTATAAGGAAGAAGTTAGAAGTTCTTTCCTGTGAGGGTGGTGAGGCACTGGCACAGGTTGCCCAAAGAAGCTGTGGCTGCCCCATCCCTGGCAGTGTTTAAGGCCAGGTTCGACAGGGCTTGGAGCAATCTGGTCTAGTGGAAGGTGTCCCTGCCTATGGCAGCGAGTTGGAACTGGATGGTCTTTAATCATCTAAAGCTCCTCAGAGCTCCGCCTGCCCTGGGACCAAAACTTGTGAGGCTTCAGCTAACTGGAGGTTGCAGCGACCAACTGACTGCTCCTGTGTTGCCCATTGAAGGGGATTTTGGTGCACTGGTGGGAAGCCCAGCTCTATGCTGATTCAGGTATATGGGGGAAAATGGTGAAACTCTTTTCAGTCCTCAGGAGAGTGCTGGTGAGAGGAGCAGTGCTGTGGCCATCAGGTGAGGGACAAAGACAGGTCAGCTTCTGCAGGCAGCTTCCTTGGATCCAGGAGCACTGCATCCCTGAAAAGGGCAGCCTCTCACTGACGTGCTACTCCAGCAGCTCCCAAGGG